GCTCATCATCGTTGACGACGGTTCCCCCGACGGAACTCAAGTCGTTGCCAATCAACTTGCCAAAGCTTACTCCCCTCATGTTCTCCTCAAAGCTCGCGCTGGCAAGCTTGGTCTCGGAACGGCATATGTTCATGGTCTCCAATTCGTGACTGGAAACTATGTTATTATTATGGACGCGGATTTCTCTCACCACCCCAAATTCATCTCCCAAATGATCGCGAAGCAGAAGACGCTTTCTACAAATGGTGGATATGATATTGTTACTGGCACAAGATATGCCGGTGATGGAGGTGTATTTGGATGGGATTTGAAGAGAAAGTTGGTTTCCAGGGGCGCCAATTTATTCGCTGATACCGTTTTGAGACCTGGGGTTAGCGATTTGACGGGAAGTTTCAGACTATACAAGAAAGCGGTTTTACAGAAGGTTATCGAAAGTACGGAAAGTAAGGGATATACTTTCCAGATGGAAATGATGGTTAGAGCTAAGGCTATGGGATGCACGGTGGCCGAGGTACCAATCAGTTTCGTAGATCGTGTTTATGGCGAGAGTAAATTGGGTGGTGATGAGATTGTGGAATATGCAAAAGGTGTCTTGAATTTGTGGATGAAGGTTTAGGTTAAAGGTGTACGTGGATATATTGTATGCATGGTGGATGGAGTTGGTGGTTTTATTGGGATCTATAATGGTCGGATCTTAGTTCTTGGAATTTGATGATGTATACTATCATATGGTTGGACTGGTGCAATTTTGACAATGAAACTTCCTTTCACTAAGCAGTCGAGTGGTTGCATCTCATTTAAGTTGTGGGGTGAGATCTTACTCTCTTTGCCATCATTCATGGGTCTCCACCAACCTCTTTCACTGGTAGCTTAGTATTGAACAACTTAATAGTGGCATATCGCGACAACCGACATGAACTATTCCCCAGTTATTATGTCATCTGCAATTTTCTCGGCAATCATATAGACAGAAGCTTGAGGATGTCCAGGAAACGCAAAAGGAAAGATCGAAGCATCAACGACTCTTAGCCCCTCTACTCCAAATACCCTGCCCCTCGAATCTACAACCGCATTCGTATCTCCAGTTTTACCCATTGCGCATGTAGCACTAGCATGCCACATTGGAGCCGAGTTCTGTTGAATATACTCCAAAATTCCTTCGTCTGTTTGTACCGTCACTCCTGGAAGAATCTCAGGTCCTATCTTGATAGATTTAGCTGGGTCGCTATCCCATATTTGTCGAATGCGTTTGAATATTGCTACTGCGACTTCAGAATCTGCAGGGTCACTGAACCAACCAAGATCGATTACAGGTGGATCTAACATGCTAGCGCTTTTGATGGTGATATTGCCTCGGGAAAGAGGAGCTGTAAGTACTCCGCCAAAAACACCAATTGTAGAGAAATTGTCACCTCCAAAACCTGCTCCTACATACTCTGCTTCTGGCCAGTCAGATGGGAAATATCTTAGTGATAATTTTGTCTGTTGTGAGAAATTTCCTCGCAGTTCTTCTGGGATTCTTTCGAAAGATAGGTAACCGGCCGCCGAGCTGTATGGCCCACCAGCATCTTCGTAATATTGTTGCAATATCTCGGCAGAGTTGTTCGGATTTGCTACAATACTTCCAGCACTGGGTGTGTTTACTTGGTTGAGTACAGTGAATGAAACTTGATCCCATAGATTTTGTCCCACTCCTGGAAGTTCTGAAATCAATGGAATGTTTTGTTCCTCAAGTGTAGCGCGTGGGCCGATTCCTTCTCCACATTAGCATGTTATTTTAAATGTTGAGAATAGCTTCTCACCAGATACCATAAGCAATTGTGGTGAGTGAAAAACTCCCGAGGATATGATGACTTCCTTCTTCGCATGAATAGTGTATTGGAATCCTGCTGTCGATACTTGAACCGCGTTTGCTCTTTTTGGTGAATCAGAAGCGAAAAGGATCTTTAGGGCTTGAGTGTGGGCATGTACCATGATATCCGTATTCTTAATAGCTTCTTCTAAGAAACTTGACTGCGAAGATGATCGTACAGCATTCTTCGGTTCAATGGTAGAAGTGACCCAAGCACCATGACCCGATAAAGAACCACTACTGAATCCAACTGAACTTACTGGAAGACCAATAGACTGTACAGCTTTCGCAAGCACATTTATCGTGGGATCAACCCAATTGTTCCAGGAAATTTGTAGAGGTCCTCCGAAAGAGTTATCAAAAGCTGTGGTATCATACACTACTGTTGCGGATGTCGAGTTTCGTTTTAAATCATCAGGTGGAGTCAAATGACAAGACTTCTTGTAATATGGAAGAATATTCTCAAAAGTGAAACTCTCATCTCCTACAATTTCAGCCCATTTCTGATACGTACCAGTAGTAGCACGATGATATGACAACGCATTCAGTGCTGAAGATCCTCCTAGCGTTTTTCCTCGAGCATAGTGTATTCGCCGGTTCCCACCATTTACCTGTGGTACAGAGAATAAATCCCAGTCAATTAGCGGTTGCTTGGGATAATCTTCAGTTGAGTACACCAGAGGCATTTGCAAGCTTCCATATGGGACGATGCTATAGTTTCCATTGTCTTGTTCGTAAAAACCACCTGCTTCGATTACGCCAACAGATGCTATTTCTGCGAGCCTTGATGCAATGACCAATCCTGCTGTTCCACCTCCAACCACTGAATCTATGAGCTTACATTCTTTAGGTACTCAATGATCTCACGCACCAACATAATCATAAGTAGCATTTCCAGGAACAGCGAAAGCACTCGAACGAAGTCGATGTTGAGTTTGTGCGGTACCGGCTACAGATTGTATGAGCGCAGGCAATATCGATATCCAAGCACGAATCATTGATGTTATATGTCGTATCGGAAATGGTTTATCGAGTGTCAATCGCGAAGTCAATGGGCTTGTACGTTCATTTTGATATCTCGGGGGATACTTTGACCCAGGTAAAATCTCCCCACTGCCAAGTGTCAGCAGTACATCCGGATAATATCCTGGGACGAATCACGTCACCGAGGACTGCTTCAACACCGTAATACTAAGATTATCTGAAGTATTAAGAACGGCTCTGCTCCACAATTTATACTGCATATACGCGGCTTGCAATATATCAAGAATGCCACAATTTCATCAAGGAGACTTCACAAGATGAAAAACATCATCTCACTGAATTCTCCTCTGGCAGCTACCTTAATCTTAATCATTTCTCCTTTCATGATACCTGGATATACTTCTTCCATGTATGAGTAATGGTTTCCACATGCGCTTGGTCGTAGAACAAGCGGGATGCTAGATCCAAAAGCAACAGTAATGATATCTCCTTGTAGAATGTTTTTGACAGCTAAGTTTATGTACTCTCGCTCTGTGATCATTGATCTTCGTCTGAAAGATAGTACCATGGCACGCATCGCATTAGCGTTATCCCATTTCGTACGTGACAATTCATGTGTCTCGGTGTTTGCAGTCAAAGTAAGAGCGTTTTGGTCGATCTCTTATCATCAAGTCTCTATTTGTCGTCTCTATGTCCATCTCTGAAATTATCTTGCATGAAAGGTCCAGGGTGCGCCAAGTTTGGGTTGATCCAGTTTTCATCAGGAAGACCAATAGGCACAGCAATATTGTATCTTTCCAAGACATTATTGGGTACTCTATCAATGACTTTTTAATGGGTGCTGAACTAAATCCACGGTTATTCGGTATACTAGACTTCAAAATATTTCATGAAGTCCGGATTCCATGGTTTGTTCTATTCGGTTTAAGCTGTGTGGCCACTACACACCAGTACGAACAATATGGCTATATTCCCGGAGAAGTCATGTTTCTTGTTATGGCACACTTTTTATATGCCAATACCTGCGCAAAATCAAAGCATCTTATCACTACCACGTGGGATATGTATCAGGAAAAGATGGGATTTAACTATAACTTGCGAACCAGGATCCAGCGAAATATGCATGGAATAAATATGCGCTTACGACATTCTTTTTCTTGTATCTATTTGTCTATTGGGTATGGGACACATCAAATGGACAGAAAGACTCCTTCCGGACGATGGAACGTGGAACGTTCGTGAAGCGAAGGACCTTTCCACAACTTCCTTGGCAAGAATTATACAACCCCAAAACCATTATGGCGGACAATGGTGATGCAATTCTTGCAGATGGATGGTATGGACTGGCGCGTAAGATTAACTATAGCTTTGATTTGTATTTTACTGTTTCCTGGGGTCTATTTACTGGGTTTGATAGCCCCTTTCCTTGGTATTGTTTAGTCTTTTTCACTGTCATGATCGTACGTCGTGCCATGAGGGATATTAATAAGTGTAGATAAAAGTATGGAGATGTTTGGAGGTAGTATGAGAAGCAGGTACCATATCTCTTCATTCCGGTTAACTCCAAATTATGCCCCTTGTCAGATGACCTCTAGCTGACCAACTATCAGTACGTGATATGACTTTCGCATACATCGTTTGATTATGTGGTGATACGTTCTCTATGGATTCGGACATGATGAATAGCATCTATAATATCTAGATATATTGCCATAAATCTGAGATCACCAGAAGTTCTTATCTGCGGCTCCACGTATACTTGGATCGTCAAAGTATTTCATACTAACCCTAATATTTTCCTTTGAAAAAAAAAAGGCAGGATCCACGGTAATACTGTAGTACAGTCACATAAAGAGGGCCTGGACGTAAGAACAAACTTCGCTTCAAAGATAAATAAAGGAGGTTTGTAGACGAAAGCTTCAGGGTGAGAGCAGTTTGTTTAGTTGAGTTGTTTGTCTATTCATTGCATTAAAGAATTAAAATATAGGAGAATAACAAGATAGTGAATCTAGCTCGTTTGTAGAATTTCAAACAAACAAGCATTAGGTAGCTCCTTTTTGGTTGCCATATAAATATTTACTTTTATCATGACCATCAACCTCAATACTTCAATCTCCACTGACTTACCATCCATACATCACCGTCTCATTTATCCGTAGTCCTCATGGATCGATACTGGGAAGCCAATCTCTGGCAACCAACCATCGTCAACGACGGAGGAAGTTTGCAGCAATTCGTCCCCTTGCACCTCAAAGTCAGTACATCCATATTCCCTCGCCCAACTAAACTACAACCCCCACAATGTCTAACACCGATCATAGGAAGTCGAGAGATGTCGCGAGAATCTGAGGGAATGCACTAAAGTCCTAGCTCTTTTTCCCTACACGCCATCTCACTGGAGAAATCGATCTGCAGTTCTTTTGGAATTAGGATATCCGGAACTCGCTGCGGCAGATGCTTATAAGGCGCTTATTTTGACGACATCTGTATTTGATGGGAAGTATCTCGGCTCGAGAGTGTGGCTTGAGATGGGCATGGCGATTTGGTATCGAGATGCTGTCAAGGTAAAGTTGAAGCACGGTGTGCATGTAAACTTTTTTGACCCCTTTAGGGAAATCCATGGGATGTGAATTTCTCGGCGACGAAATTTGGCATACAGATGCTTGATTTTTTGAAGTATGAGCGGAAGCAAGCGTGCGTTTCTAATGCCTTCTTTGCTGATAGTCTCTATTCTTACCTACCTAACCAAATGTTTAGCTATACCCAATTGATCTTCTCCCTCTGCTATCTCCAAGCTCTTCCGGACATCAAAGCCATAACCACGGAAGCATTAAAACGTTACCCTGACGATATCACATTTCTCTATTTCCAGCACGCTGCAACCTCCGCATATGAAAGCAATCGCACTTTCATATACCAACAAGCATTACCCGATGGTATCAAATGGGTGCATGCAGAGATGGGAACAGTATGGAATAAACCATATCCATGGGCTTCAGGATTCCATACCAGAACCAAAAGATCAATCAAAGCCGCCAATATAGCTCTGAAAAAATGCTCAAAGGTACTTCGAATTCAGCCTTCTAATATGACTATGTCAGACTCGGGTGGAGTTTGTTATGGCATGTTCGCAAGTCAAGATATACATAGAGGTGATACCATTATCGAGCGCAGCCCAGTCTTATCAATCAGTGGCTTACAACTAAAGACACATTTGAATTTGATAGATTCATTATTAGGAGAACCGAAGACTAGATCGAAAACTTCCCCAGGAAACTGTTTCAATTGTTACGGACTCTTGAACAAATATGGGCCAAAATATGGATTTGCATGTTGTTCCCATCTCTACTTCTGCAGTAAAGATTGCAAGAATCTTGCCCAGCAGTATTACCACGATGCCCTATGTGGCACCAATATAATCCCCATCTATTCATTCTCCAAAAACAAAAAATGTTACGTATGTGGGCCCGAGATCGCGGGAATGATATGGTTACGGCTTTTGGCGACATGCAAACAAGGGGGTGGACATCCGCTTCAACATCCTCTTGTAACCAATCTAAGCATTCACGAAGCAGCGGCTCAAGACCCCTGGTCCTTAAATGTCCGCGTCATCCGGCCTCTGAAAACTCTGGAGATACTTGGGATAGATGTTTTCGCGAATCAATGGTATGATACTTGGGTCTTGGAAACTCTGTGGTATGTCTATCTTTCCTAGAACCACATTCACAACAATAATAACTGATATTACCTCACAGGCAAATATTCAGGGTCAACTCTGCTGGAGCATATAATACAGAAAACGAGTATGGATGCTGGGTCGATAGCTTCTACGCAATGTTCAACCATAGTTGTGAAGATCCGCGAATGATGGGTACACATATCCAGGACTTTGATCGGGCGGGCTCGAAGTTTCAACACGGCGCTGCGAGAGAAATTAAAAAAGGGGAAGAGGTATGTGTCAGTTACATTGAGGTGTTGTCGCGATCAAAAATGGAAAGACGCAAAGCCCTTGCGGGATGGCTCTCCGGTGATTGTAAATGCAAGAGATGCTTGGCTGAATAGTATGTAATAGCCCCTGTGACTATCTAGGATTGTCTCCCATAGCATCAAAAGACTTGAACAAATCGAAAAGATTGGTCTTGACAATCTTCAAGTGAGTTACGCAATCGAACACTTGCTATAGTAGGTAGCCAGTATCAAATTGTTAAGACCATTGTGATAAGACATAGGTAGTTTTTGGACCTTCTAAACCCATCTAAGCCGTCAAGAATTCGAGACGGCGAGGAATAAACTTGATGGGGTATTTCAAGAAGTCACAAAGAAGTAACCATCATACACTTCAAATCACCAGGTATAGATCAAGATATGTCTTATTCGAACGAAGTCATGTCGTTGTATCGATACATACATACCTATATACAAGTTGGCGCTTTGATGTTTACTAAACCTGGTGAAGTCACGTTTGTAGGTGTTTATTCTTAGCTAGGGAAGCAAATGTATACTAGGTATATACCACTTGCGTGGATGTCATATCTATCATGGAATTATAAATCTTAATAATTCTTATTTTGGTCTTTGACTTGCCAGAAAATGAGTATCTTCCCTCGCCACTGTTCCCCGAATCCAAAAGCAAAACCCGTCCCATCACAAATAAGTACCTAACTCCCTAGGTATCTCCAACTACCTACCTACCACACTCAAACCGCAACCCTATCCAACCCACTCTCCTCAAAAAGCCTCAAAATCCCCCCCTCCTTCTTTTCCCTCCCCCCCCTCACCAACTCCGCACTCCTCTTATCCTTCGCATCCGCCCTCCTCTCCCTCCTCCTCTTCCACGTCTCCAACTTCCACTTCGTGGCATGCGAAATCCCATTGCGCGCACGTTTCTTAATCTCCAACCACGGATCTCTCGGATCATCCAGCTTGTGGTACTTCCAATACGGGGTATCCGGATTCGGGTCGCGGGGAAGCTGAGTCGGACGATGCATGATGAGGACCGTCGAGTCACGATTGATTTTCTCACTCGCCTCACCATCCTCATTCCAGCGCTGCGCTTTCAGCGCCAGGCCCTCGGCCCTGCTTTCAAAGTCACTGAGTGTGAGCTCGTCGGTGGCTACGAGTTTGAACCCTTTGCGGGGTTGTGCGCAGTTCATGAATGAACCATCGCAGGTATTGAAGATCAAGGTGAAATTTTCCGCGGGACAGTAGCGGAGAAAATTTGTGATGTGACGGTATGAGAAACTTTGGTGAGAGTTAAAGAGGTTGGAGACATCGAAGATCCATTCATTTATACCATGATATTTTGGTGAAAGAATCTCATCGAGTAAGAAATTTTGTCTCGTGTACAGAACTTGAGGAGAACCTTTGTAGCGGTGGGAATCCGGCGTCTCGTAGAATTGAATATGAACTGATCGAAGGAGGATCTGTCCCGCGCGAGTATACAAAGGGGCGCATTTGAGAAAGGATTCCAGAGTTTGGAAAGTGAAAGTTTGGTTTTGCAAATATTCTTTTGGAAATTCTGAGTCGAGATCATTGTAAATTGTGCGACAGGTTAATCGTAGAGATCGAAGTATTGATTTTTTAGATGACTGTATGTATCGAGACTGCTTAATGGATAGAGCCTCGCTCCAGATGATATTTCGGAGTTCGATGGGAAGGTTCATAATTCCCACCTTGTCAGGAGGTAAATTTGTTAGTGACATGGTAACTAGATGACTGAAATTGTGATATTCGGGCTGAGAAAAATCTGAGTGTTGGAGATAGGTATGGAGTAAACTAGTCTTGTATGCAGATGACACGTCCAACTACAGTACTAGACAATTGAAATAAGCCGGAACCACTTTTTTTTAATTTAGTAATATCCACATTATAAGGAAAAATAAGAATATAAATTTATTTTTTCTTTTTAAAAATCTGGTTTTTGAATATACTATCACCTAATTATTTTTAAAGCTATTTTTATATATTTTATTAATATATTGATTTCTAATACTTTGTATATCATATATTCGTATTAATATATACTTTTATATATTTTGATATATTCTTTATTAGAAATTCGAATAATCCTTCATTTAATACCTCCTATACTACTTTCAAATATTCCTTTAATTTCTTTAAATCTTCTTTCTCATATTTTGTAGATTTTATAAATATAGAATATAATTATATTATTTTATACTTTAATATCTATTAGATATTCTTAATAGGATTAAAGTTCAGAGAATAGGAAGACTAATTAGTAATCTGAATCTTATTTTTAATAAACCAATCCCATACAGTATAAACAGTATATATAGATATATTATCCTGTATAAAAATAAGGGGATTGTAGTATTCCTTAAGGAATGTATTTTCTAAAACCTGAATATAAGATCTTACAGAATATCTATACTTTTTAGATTCCCAATCCCTTTTTATTATATATAATAGAGTTCTCCTATTCCCTCAAAAAGCTGTTTATATTATTACTTTAATATTCTGTTTAGATTTACAAGTAGTAATTAAAATAGGATCCTACTTCTGAATAGGAGTTCTGAATACTTATTCAATCTCTTTTTTATATTTATATTTAGCGGAATACTTATTATTTCATATATAAAGCTTTTATCTTTCAATATTCTAATGTATTCAGTATTTGTATTAATCCAATCTTAATTTAGCATACTCCTTTTTAAGCTCAAAACACTTCTTAATATACTAATAAATGATCTCATAAAGTCTATACAAGTTCTTGATATAGATATTATTCATTTTTAGATCTATTTTTTATTAATATATTTCAAACTTTGTTTTGAAATACAATCATATATATCTTAATATAGATTAATAATTTCTAACTGAATATAGAATCTTCCTATATCTATTAAACTTAAAGATTTCTTTTAATCTTGATTTAATACTATTAATAATTGATTTTACTATTTTGTAAAAAACTTTAAATTCAATTTTAATTTCACATAATAAAAGTTTAATGTTGGTTTGAGAGAGATACGGAAGACGTGGTTCCCACTATGTGTAGGCCCCTAAATGTCTATTTGTATTCAATCTAAGGAGCTAGCTAAATGAGGGAAATAGTAGGCCTTATATAGGCACTACTGAAAGAGCTAGTCTCCTTCGCTTTCGCCTAATAACCTTAATACAGTTGCCTTTGTATTGAAGTGAATCCTTTAAAGTGAATTCCCTTGAATGAATTCCCTTGTCCATACATTTAATTTGTTAAGCTCTAATAATAAACCCTTGCTTATATAAAATAAGCTTCTTCTTTTAATCCAATTACAACAAATTTAAATCTATTTAAAATTGTAATTATTAAATTATAAAATATTTAAAAATTAATAATAAGGAAAAAAACACATACAACACGTTTTATACACGTTTCGGCTCTTTTCAATTATAGATCACTATATTTTCTTTCGCAATAAAGATTAATAAAAGTTAATAAATGTATTGAATGATTTATCGAATAGGTGGAAAGCAAAGTTGTATTGTTGAGAGGGGAGCTGAATCCTTAAATAGACCATGCCATAGACCGATCAAAAATCAACCCAAGCCGTGAAATTTATTGAATACTCAGGTAGACATGTCATATCCAAAATTATAGTGAACTAAACTCTTTCATCTCTATTATGTGAATCTCTACGTAGGTAGTCAGCTCACTTATTACTATCGAACTCAAACGAAGTCTCATCAGAAGCGTCCATGTTTTCTTCATCTATTCTAGTCACTTTCTCTTTTATACTTCTTTCCTTCGAGATGTACTTCAAGTGTTCAAATAGCCATACCGGCACTACTAACACCAATTACCTTGATCTTAATGAACCACCGAGTATCAGCGTCAAATCTATGATGTATCAATCTTCCAACCCCACACAACTCATCGAGAGGTCTTCCATCTGCAGAACACTTTGCGCACTTTGAAAGAAATCATGTAGACGACCTCCACAAGCGAGTCATGGGGTTCTAGACCGAAAAAGAACTGAATCAATCATCAAGATACCGACATGAACCTACGGACTCAAAATGTAAAGTGAGTAATGAAGTCCACTTTCCACCAAAGTATGCACTACTATGCGCTACTCATGTCATTCAAATCAAGATCTGCAAATGCCGATACCCGTGGACAGTACCGAAAGGCATATTTTGAGGCTGGTACCATGTGGCTGAAAATCAGACATGCAACAAATTAGAATATAGAACGCTTTGATTCCGTTCAATTCCATTCTGTGGAAGCAATATTTCTTCGAGAACATAAGCTAGAATTTAGATTGCATGATATAGTGCTCCTCCATATCATGACTGCCAAGTAAAGTTCAAACCATTTGATAGTCGTGAGGTCGGGAATCGAACCATCATCCCAACACATTCACTGATATGTTTTCAATGCTTCGAATGACACGAGGTATTTCCGCGTAAGAAAGGGGGTTGCTGAAGTTCTTCGTGTGGTGATTTTCTGCTGTGGTGTGTCCTCTATTACTCCTTTGAACAGAAAGAATCAACACTTGCCTTCTTGTGCTCAACGCAAAACGATCTACTTCTTCGCACTTGTGAAGAGAAGATGATACTTTCGGAGAAACGAGCGAAAACATGAAGTGAAAAAATTCAGTGACTTCGTTTGAGAAAGATAAAAAAAAGATCCAAGGAAATGATGAAAAGATAACCCCAAAGCTCGTCGACTTGGCAGAATAAAACATACTGAAGATCAAACAGAGTATCAAAGTAAAGAGAAAAGATTTCTCTCTTGCAAACAAAAAGAGAAGTATGTCCTTAGGCCAGTAGATTCCAGAATAGTGAGTGTCGCTAGTTTTTATGAATGAAACATCTTGTCGTCTAAACCATTTAACATTACCATATCCCAAGTTATCTAAGTTAGATGGCATCTATATCTAATCCATATTAATGACGTATGCCTCTAGGTCTGAAAATGTTGAATCCTCGAACAATTCGTACCAAGTCGAGTAGTAGCTGGTGACTAGGACACAGAAACTTTCACAGCTTTTCTCTCAGCTTTTTTCTATCCATGGTAATAAATAAAGCTTCCCCAGTGGCCAACACTACTCCCT